CGTCCCCTGCCTCCCCCAATGTCCCCCCACGCCCCTCCCCGTCACTGGGACGTCAGCATCTGCAGCTCCACAGCCTAGGGGCCCAGGTGTCACCCGACGTCTGTCTACAGCGTTGGGCTTGGCACCGGCACCGCACAGCCCACGTGGGGCGGGAACCGGAGGTGCGGGACTGACGGTGCGGGATGTAGCCGGACCGCGGGCCGGATCCCGGTGTCACGGCCCCTTCGCGTCCTGTCCGCCTGGTCCCGCGTCGCTTCTCGACCTGCCACGGTCCCCTCTTCCCTGTCCCCCAGGACCTCGGCCCGGTAGGACACTGCCGCTGTTCTTCCCAGTGCCCCAGGGGGGTTGCCTGGTGGCTTCTTGTGACTAGCCACGTGTGTCCTCGGTGCGCAAGACCCGCGGCACCGTCGACACGGCGTCGTTCTTGAACAGTGCTGTAGTTTTCTGAAACGGACTTTTTCCCTCCTAGCCGGAAGGGTCGAGAGGCAGAGACACAACCCCGAAAGGCAGCAGAGACTACAGGAGTCAGCCGTGCACCTCCTGAGAAGCCGCCAGAGCTTGAACGACCTTCTGCTCGAGGTGAGAGGAGGTCGGTTTGGCCTTTGCAAGCAGACTTAGCTCTGGGTGTTGGACCCAGCCAAGGGTAACCTTTAGAAGAAAACACTGGAGGGCCGGCCCGTGGCTCACTTGGGAGAGTGTGGTGCTGATGGCACCAAGGCCACGGGTTCGGATCCCCTTACCGGTCATCTTTTTTAAAAAAGAAGAAAACACTGGAAAGCCTCGTGAGTCCTTGGTGGAAGCAACGGTGAAATGTTGACTAGGTGAGGGAAAAACTGGAGCATTTCTCTCTTTGGAGATAAGAGAAGTTGAAAATGAATTTAATAATAATTCTTACATGACCTTAATAAGGTCCACTTCTTAAAATATTTGAAAATAGCCCTGTAGACAAGCATTATATATGCACCCAGATTGTATTTGTGCAGCCGCCTTGGATTTTTAAAATGGAATTCTTTGTGTTTTGGCTTCTAGGTAGAAGGTCCACCATGTAAAAAATTGTGTCTGAGCAAATTGATTGGTTGTGACAGTCCTGAAGCTTACACTAATCATTCTAGTTCATTTATAGGTGAGTTATAGCTTCATTTTCTTAATGTAGTGTTGCGGAGGACTTTTTGTATATGGTGACCATCATTTGTTTATAAGAAGTAGAAATTTTAATTCCCCAGATATTGGTTTTCCACTTGTGTGTGTAGTCACAAATTACAAATCATTTTTTTGTGACAAGCCATTGTGCTGTGTTTAACAATGTTTAGCTCAGCCTGGGGACTCAGAAGCAGTAGGAGCCACAGCGTCCCTTGGGAAGGTGTGGAATAGCGACGACAGGGACATGCACCTCGTTTGTGCAAGTGGGGGCAGCAGGTTGTGCTGTGCCAGGGAGGGCAGGCCAGAGACCAGAAACATGTCTCCAGGTGCTCCCTCTCCCCACCAGCTTGAGAGTGTGAGACTGGGAAAGTTCTGGGGGAATAACAAAAAATAAATTATTTTTTGGTTATTCATATTTGTATTATGTAATGACTTTCAGAAAGTGATATTAACTAATTCGTTAAATTTCTATTAAAGTAACCTTAAATAATAGGCCTGCCTCAACAACTGATGATTAAATGTCATTGGTAAATGATATTGATTTTCACTGCCATGATTATATTTGAATTTCATAAATTATGCATCGTCATTCTAAGGAACCAAGCTCAGCCACACACTTTCTTGTGTGGACTTTTGGATCAATGCATAAAAACTTACACAGAATGATCTTTACCCTTGACCACAGAAATATAGACAGACTTTTTTTACTTTGTTTTTCCTGCTAAAGATATGGCTACCATACTTATTTATGTATACATGAATAAAAGTCCGTAAATAAAAACAAATAAATTTCCCATAGAGAAAAATTAGGAAGAAATAATTAGCATTTTCTTTCTTTCTGCCATGAATTACGTCTTGACCACAGCAGTTGATGATTTCTGGTGCTATAAGTAGAAGTCTATAAAACCGTTGGAAGTGCTTTTACTAACATATCAATGTGTGTTTTCAGAGCCTGGGGGATAATGGGCATGTACTATACTTTCCTTTTTTTTTTTTAAATGAGTTTTGGCAGCCACGTAAATTAGAAAATGATTTGCTTGTAGGCGTTACCTCTTTCCAAGCTTCTAGCACCTCTTACTTTACTGAATGCAGATCAGAGGCTGGTGGCTGCCCAAGGGTCAGCTGTCCAGGTGCCACCTGATAGCACTGAAGACCAAGCACACCTGTGGCCTTGCTGCCCACAAGCGTGGCAGAGCTTGGGGGACCCCTGCCCAATTTTGACTCAAGATCAATGTAAAGTCAACAGCAGGCTTGTCTCTTGACAACTGAAGTATTAGAAAATCAGAAATTAATTAAGAGTCTGTTGGAGTTCTAAATTTATTATGCTGCTTTGGAAAAAGATGATAAAGTTCTTGGTCAGAATATATGTGCTAATGTCACTTGTTTTGTGTCGCATGAAACAACAAATAGGTGTGTGGAACTCTGGGTTCAGAGGTGGCCACTGATTTTCACATGACTGTTTTGGTCATGAAATTGTCTCAGTATGTTAACTCGTGTTTTTCCCTTTACATCTATTCTCCCCTTTAAAAAGCAGTTTTCTGGGATGCTACAACTTAAAATAAGCATGTTAAACTTCAAGTCTTCTGCTTTAAATTGTATCCCATGTTTTAAGAGAAAGCCGTGGTTTTGTTTTTCAGGCTCTGCTTTGCAGGATCAGGCCTTGAAGCTGGGGGTTCCTGTGGGAATCCTGTCGGCCAGGGTGGTCGCCTCCAGCCTGGAGCAGGTCTGTGAGGCTGCAGCAGAGCCCCATCACCTCGTGCTGCTGAACCCGGAGCAGAGAGTAAGATGAGGAACCATATGCGGTCGTTACTTTTAAGCTGTTTGAGAAAGTGGTACATTTTTTGAATATTGTTTCAGGTGCCCATTTTGTAAAAAGATTTACTCTCTTTTCAGGAGAAACTGTCTTCTTTGCTAGAGATTGCTCAGTATTTACTGGCACACAGCATGTTCTCACGTCTTTCCTTCTGTCAGGAACTGTGGAAAGTCCAGGTAAATTTAAGAGTGTAACTCTGACTCTTGAGTTTTTTCAAGCAATGTTCTGTTGATTTGGGTGGAGCCAACAGAATCCCTACATTTTCTTTGGAATTCCACCACGCGTCTCATTAGCTGGGGGTGGGGGGGGGGGCAGCAAATGCCTCTGTGGATGGGAAAGAAGCACCTTCCATCACCGTTTGTCGGTGCTCGCCCATTGCCAGCAGTGCTTACTGGAATAGAACACACCACGAAAACATGGCGCTCTGTCTTCTTCGGTATATTATTATGAAGAATTCTCCAGGGCAGTGTAATAAATTATAAAAATATAATTTAAATACTATCGGCTATTTTTTGAAGCATCTTGAACTCGGTAAGCTTATAGATTTTTGAAGAGTTGACCGAACTCAAAGTAACCACTTGGTACTAAATGAGATCAGCAAGTGTGTAGAAAAGGGAAAGAAAGAACCAAGGTGATTGCTCACTTGTGTTTTCTTCGTCCTCCCTTCATCGAGCATGCATTATGGGGCTCCTGTATCTGTCAGGCTTTGTTATGGTCTCTGCACTCATTACCGTTGAGTCAGGAAAAGGGCATCTAAACGTACATGAAGTGCAATGATGTAGGTGTTCATGGGTGTGCAAAGGAGGTGGACGTATGTCAGACTGGACAGTTAGCAACGGTGTCCTGGAAGAGCTGGGAGTTGTCGGAGTGGGAGGGAAGCATGTGGGTTAGCTGGACGAAGAAGGTGAGGATGCAGTGAGTGGGGGTCTTGAGCAGCACGTGTGTAGTGAGGTGATGCCTGGTCATGTGGGAGGGTCACCAGGGGCCCATGTGCCATGCCGATGAGTTTGAACTTTCGTTCTGTAGCTGTGAGGACAGAGAAGAGATTGACATGTCCAGTTTGCATTTTGGAATATTGTGTTGTTCACAGTGTGGAGAAAGGTCTGGAAGTGGGTTTTGTCGGAGCCTGGGCAGGGAGGAGGTCAGGCCCTGCACAGCAGCAGGAGTGGAGAGGAGAAGGGAGTGAAGGGTGTATGTCTGAAGGCTGAGTGAACTTGAAAACCATAAAACGCGTGTCAGGCTGTGCTCGTTACTCCACTTTAATTTTCAATAGGGTAAGGTGGTTAAAAACCTAGGCTGAAGATTTGTAGGAAATGCATGCATAAAGGACTCATACACTGTTATTTCCTTCAGAATTCTTTGTTGCTTGAAGCTCTGTGGCGTCTTGATGCACAGCGCGTTGTGA